CAGTTATTGCCAGTATTGTAATTGCTTTTATTAGCAATTTAAGAAAAATAACCTCTTGTGTTCCTTTTCACAATGCAATATATCCAGCTTCACAAGTAAAAAGTGAAATCTTTCGCTGTTTCTTAATTCCAGCTGATTATTGGGTTACCATCTGCTAGCTTAAAGCAATAGCCTGTTATACTCTTACGGTCTGGTGAATTGGCCCAATCAGCATCACAAAATCTTTCCAATTTTAATAGTTTATTGGATTGTCAAAATACTAGGCACCGACTTTTAGTCCACTTCAGATAACGCAATACTTGCTTAACAGTTGTTAAATGTACAGTCCCCGGTTTATTTAAGTTTTGGAACAACTTAGTAACCGTATAGCAGATATCTTGCCTGGTTGATGTCATCATGCAAATAAGACTTCCGACCAATTCCTCTGTATTCATCCTCACACGCCGCTATACCATCTTCCTTATTCATAATTATGTTCAAATCCATTTCACATGGAATAGTTGTTTTATAATTGTGCATGCTGAATTTAGAGAAGAGCCTTTTGATGTGTCTCAATTGATTCATTAAAATAGTGTTGCCTTTAAATTCTAACTGTATACCAAGAAAACATGATAGCCGACCCAAATTGGTCATTTTCAACCTCATTTCTAGAGAATTTTTGATTTTTAATAGAGCGGCCTCACTCTTTGATGCAATTTACATATTTTCGACCCAAATAACCAGAATTACTAATATTTCATTATTAAATGTCTTCGTGTACAGACATGGGTCAACCTGGGGAGATTGAAATTATTGTCTCATTAAATAACAATGGATTAAATTATTCCATGTTCTTCCGCTCTGTTTGAGTCCAAATAGTGACTTTTTTTTTAAGTTTCCATACATAATTGTCACCTTTCTTCAAAACCTTTTGGCGGTTCTATATATATATATCATAGTCCATGGTAGCCTTCAGAAATAAGTCTCTTTTAACATCCATATGGTGTATATCCTTACCATAATGGGCATCCATTTGCATCAAAACTCTAATTAAGACTTAATGTTTCTACACAAGTCATCTCCCCCTCTTTTATAATCTGCCCCATATATCTATGAAAATCCGTTAGCTACAAAACGAGCCTTGTAGACTGGCGATCCATCTTCAGTTCGCTTTACAGTACGGCTGCCGATGATATTTCTCATCATCCGGGGCGTTTTGATTCAAAATCAATGTCCCTTAATACTAAAGATTTAATTTCTTCATTTTTCTTTTATTTTTGGATTAAATTTCTTCATTTTTCTTTTATTTTTGGCATGGCCGCTATGGTATTGACAAAAACGCATGGCTTCTTGGTAGTTCTTTGAGATACATTGCACCGCATAACAACAGTTAATATTACATTGATTCATTTCAAAATAGTCTGCCTTTTTTCCATTTTTGTCGGATAACTCGGAATTTGCACCTGATTTTTCTCGTATACATCATATGGTATAATACCTTCCTCTGATTGTGGACTCTGAACGGGTTTTCTACTTATAGGCCCATAATTAGGCCATACTAATTCGGGTTGGACTAGTTCCTCGCAATTAATATTCTTTTTTTTTTCGGATTCCTCCCCTCGCTCAAAGGAATCCGTAAATCTGACGCATCTAATCTTCCTCATCGTTTTAGTTTGTGGAAAATAAATCATATAAGCTGGACTTGGCTTATCATACCCAATAAATATGCCCCTTTCACTTTTTGGATCTAGTTTCGCCCTGTGGTCAACACATGTATAGCAAATTGTACCAAAAATATGTATATCACTCACATTGGGCTTAAAATTCGCATAAGCTTCGTAAGGAGTTTTTTTTTTAAATGTTACTATTATACCAGTGGTTTCTTATATATACCGCTGTGTTTAATGCATAAACCCACAGATTTTTGGGTAAGTTAGATTCTATTAACAAACATCTAGCCATTTCAAAAAGTGTCCTCCAACTCCGTTCAGCGACTCCGTTCTTATGTGAAGAAATAAGAACAGGGTTTCTCATGTTTAATGCCTTCATTTATTAGGAGGTTTTTGTAAGCATCAGAAGTAACGTCTCCACCATTATCTGCCCGAATTATTTTTAATTTTCCATGCGGGGAGTTATCGGATAAATAAATTTTTGTAGCTTGCATGGTATCCGATTTGTTTTCAGAAAATATATTATAATAAGTCCTGAATATTCGTCAATAAAATTTAATACATATGATTTCATTCCAGTGGCGTGTTCTTGTAATCTTTTAACATCCGAATCATGACAGTGGCCTAATATTTTATGCCAAGTTCTTAAGTCGTGCGTGGCTGTCTTCGCAGACTTAATACTTTTCAAATAATGCAAACGTCCATTTTGCTGTATATTAAATTTAGTTCCGTCTGGATATCTTAAATTTAGGAATATATATAAAGCCTTTTATTTTTTTAAACATTTACAGTATTTCGTGGATAAACACAGGCGTCACCTCTTTTTAAAACTAAATTATTAGCTCTGGTGCCGTCCACTAACTCGATAAAATGCGAGTCGAGCTCAAAATTCGGGTCAAAATTAATAAATTTTGTTTCATCTGCAATTACATGATTAGTCGCACCCGAATTAACCAGGTACGGATCACAACTACTGGCCACAGTATTCAATCCAAACAAAAAGGCATATGCACGTCTATTCGAAAAAGTTTTTACATTTTTACAAAAGTCATTCCGTGTATAAAATTGACATTTCGCACGGACATGGGCGACATTATTACCACAACGAAAACAAACATTTCTTTTAGTCTTTCTTCCTTTATAATTCTTGTAATAATTGCCTTTAAAGCCCCTGTTCTTAATATCATAATTCTTAGTCGATCGCTTTGAGGAACTGGTTTTCTGAATTTTCAAATGACGTTCCCAGTTGCATTACGTTTTTGCCTCGATTTTGGGGGGTACATATTTATAATTTCTTCATAATTACGTAACGCAATTTTAAACTCAGTGAAAGTTAGTTGTTTATCTTTTTGAGTTATAACTGTCGTGGATGGTTTGAATGTCGGTGGTAAACCCTTTAAGACCATGGCTATTAGCAGCCCATCCGAGATAGTCTCTCCTTCTATATTAAAGCATTTGTGACATTCATTGCCAAAATAATTGGTTACTGATTCATTTTCTTTTCTCTTTAACGCAGTTAGTTCAGTATATAAAGCAATAATTTTAGGCTTACCTTTTGACAAATAGTATTCACGCAATTTTTTGTAGAGCTCGGCTTCCATTGTGCTTGACCTCTCTCATTATTAAAGACAAACTACTGTCGTTCAGGAATTGTATTAATTCAGCGAACACGGTCGCATTTTTGCAAAGGATGATGTCATGGAGTTATTGGATTCTGAGATAGCCTAAAACCGTCGTCTCCCATAATTTATATCTCGATTCATTCCCGTGAAAATAAAATCGTGATCCTGGGCTCATAACCAATGTTACACATTCATGACGGTCGTCTTCGAGTATAGAATCCAGAATGCTAATATATTTATTTGTTTTAAAAGAAGTATAGTCTATTAGTAATTACAATTTGGAATAATAATTTAAAATTGTATTTTAACACGACGTACTCATATTTAAACGATACTTTTGGAAAAAAAAATCTTTGTGTATACAGTTATAAAACAAAAGTGCCGAAAAAATTTTGTCACTGAAAAAAACAGACGACGTGCGAAAAACGGATGTCATCATTTGTTGAACAGGCACCCGTACCCTACCGTAAATTAACCTCATTTGGAAAGTAAGTCATATTTTGAGACACAGTTTGTCAGTGAAAATGAATATCCTGCCACCCCTTGTCAAAATGACTGAATTTCCCAGTATCCTTAGCAACTTATATCAAGAATGTATGTGCTTATAAAACTCAGTAAATTTCAAAATAAGTTATTCCAAAAATCGCTTGAAAATGAAACAGTACTAAGTATTTTAATTTAATTCTATAATTAATTTTGAAGTTTTGGATTCTGTTTTTGAACATGATAATTCCTGTGTAGCGATGGGACCATATTTTTAAATTAGTAAAATATATATATATATATATATATATATATATATATATATAAAAAATGGAAATTATTAGAAAGATTCTGTATTCTGTACAAAAACTTGTTGTATAGACTAAAATAAGAATTGGGAAAAAGCACATATTATTTATATTTATTTATAATCTACGTATTTTCACAAAGAAATATTCAAATTTAAGCTTAGTTAATTACAATCGGATTTTCAGTGTGTTTTTTTCCAAGAAAAATAATTTGTTGCTTTACTTTTTTACTTTGACTGGTTTCGCTTGGCTTTTCAGAATGTTTTTAACAGTTTCTATCTACACGTGTTGACGCTTATGTTTTGAATAAATGAACAAAAATGAAAAGATCAGGAGTGTAACTGGCTATATATATCGTTTATGGTAAGAAAGATTTGCTCAAATCTATTTATGCAATGAATTAAGTATTGTCTGCCTATATTTCTGTGATGAGGTATTTACATTATTCGGACTATTGTCCTCATTTTTGTCGCCATATTTATTACAACGTTTCGGCCGTTGTAAGCTACGGCCTTCTTCAGGTGGTTGGAATGTCGAACTGAACTCTTTATTTCGCTCACTGGGGCAGACTGTTCTAGTTCTACGTGCCATGTTTAATGGATGTCAGTTATCAGTTGTAATAAATGTGGCGACAAAGATGAGGACAACAGTCCGAATAATGTAAATAATGTACATAATACCTCATCTCAGAAATATAGACAGATACTGAAAAGCCGAAACGTTGTAATAAATATGGCGACAAAGATGAGGACAATAGTCCGAATAATGTAAATAGTGTACATAATACCTCATCTCAGAAATATAGACAGATACTGAATGGCCGAAACGTTGTAATAAATATGGCGACAAAGATGAGGACAATAGTCCGAATAATGTAAATAGTGTAAATAATACCTCACCTCAGAAATATAGACAGATACTGAAGAATCTGTACGAACCTATATATATATATATATATATATATATATAGAGAGAGAGAGAGAGAGAGAGAGAGAGTGAGAGATAGATAGATAGATAGATAGATAGATAGATAGATAGATGAAAGTAGGAATATTTCAGCCAAGCAGAGACCTCTTGATAATGAAAGAGAAACCCCAGATTACACCTTCATTTCCAACTTATAAAATGGATAAAACATTTCTGCGGTTGGTCATTGTAAACATCACTTGAGAATGAAACCGTCCTCGAAGTTTTAGGTTTAATTTTGAAATTAAACTTTAGGATTTGACTTTCAGTCTCGAATCCGTAATTTCTGTATCGCGATGGAATCATATTTAAATAAATAAATATAATTTAACTTCTACTTCTGTATCGAACACTCACTGTTTTTTTTTTCTTTTTTAAATAAAAACATAAATATTAAAGAACTTTGTATTATTAATCTGACTTTTCTTTCTTATTACCTCAACCCACACACATATATATTAATTTATATGTTCAGTGCTTAGGGAAAAGCTCTCAATATCAGTGATACAGCTAACATATACGCTTTTGTCTGATGATTTGCAAAAGTGTGAAATCCAAAGTCACAAATCCATATCCATGCAACTGAATATATATATATATATATATATATATATATATATATAAACATATATAAACAGTATTTCTCGCTTGAAAAAAACTAAGATGACACAACTTGTAGACACCTGAGGGCAGATTGGTACCCGTGGAAAAATTTGGAGGTGAAAAAAGAAAGAACTAAAAACATCAGAACAGGGCGAAAATAATCGTCAAGTGTCTTAAGTCCTTAGTCCAAAGAAAAAAAAAAAACAAGTTTAGAGACAAAACGAAAACGGAGATAGCTCAATACGCCAAGTAGAGCGGTAAATTACCCAGTTTACCCTGAAGATCCGTTTAGGTTTACCTGGCTCGTTAGGATTCTGTATGGACAGATACATGTATACATATATATATAGTATACATTAAATTTAATGTTCATCTTTGTAATTCTCGAAAATGCTTTCTCTAATATGGTTGTTGTTTGTGGATAAATTCGACAAGACTCACGCTGTGTTATATCAACCTGTCGACTCACAAAATACATAATCAGGAGAAGTGAGTAAGAAAAGAATATTAAAAAAATATTTAAAAATGAGATTTGCCATTATTTTTTAAAATGCATGTGATTACGTGTAATAACATTTAATACTAATGTTTATATTGGTACCTATTCATATCTATGCTTGTGTTTTATATATTTATTGCATTCTGTTCGTATCTATCTATCTATCTATCTATCAGTATCGAAGTCTGTTCGTATCAATCTATCTATGGAAGTCTGTTTCTATCTATCTATCTATAGATAGACAGATACATACATACATATATATTTATATATATATATATATATATACAGATTTTGATAGATAAATGGGAACAGACTTCGATAGATAAATATGAAGAAACAGGAGGGAAGGAAGGAAGAGGAGGAGGAATGAAAATCTGATATTGTGCAAAGAAAGAAAGAAAGAATCAAAGAAATATATATATATACTTCAGTCTCTTCATATGTATATATATATATGTGTGTGTGTGTGTGTATACTTCAGTCTCTTCATGTCTATTTATCTATCTATCGAAGTCTGTTCGTATCTATCTATCTTGTTTTTTTTGTATTGGAATATTTTTATACAACAATTGATTTTAAGTTTCAGTGAATATACACAAAGAAAATAAAAGTCGCTTACAAAAAAATGTAGAGACGCATGAAACAATAGCGAGATAAATACGTAATAAAAAAAAAGTTAGAAATGATATGGAAAAGGAAAGAAGAATGGGATTAATGAATAAAGGAAGAGAGGCAAAATCATGGAGTAAAAAAAATGAGAGGAAGAAAAGAGGGAAAATCCGGCAAAAAAGGAATAATAAGAAAGGAAAACAAAGAGAAAATCAAGGACTGGAGTAAAAGAAAAGAAAGCAAGACAGATAAAACAGGGATAATAAAGAAAGAAAGAAAGAAAGAAAGAAAGAAAGAGACAGACAAACAAACAAAGAAAAGAAAGGAAGGAAGGAGGGTGAATTAAAATCTGATATTGTGCAAAGAAAGAAAGAAAGAATCAAAGAAACAAACAAAGGAAGGAAGGAAGGAGGAGGAGGAATGAAAATCTGATATTGAGCGAAGAAAGAAAGAAAGAAACAAAGAAAGAAAGAAAGAAAAGGCGAATGAAAACGGATACTGAGCAAAGAAGGAAAAAGGGGATGAAAAGCAGATACTGGGCCGAGAAAGAAAGAAAGATAGATAGAAAAAAGGGGGAATGAAAAGCAGAAGCTAAGTAAAGAAAGAAAGAAGGAAAGGGAGAATGGAAATCGGATACTGAGTGAATAAATAAATAAAGAAAGAAAAATAGCCAAATAGTGAAGATGTGAAAGAAAGAAATTACAGGTGAAAAGAAAAGAAAAAAAGAAACTCGAGAGAGAAAAAAAGATTGAATAGAAGAAAGAGATTAGAAAGAAATAAAAGGCAGTCCAACTTCGCATGTCATACGCCTGATCTGCTGGGGCTGGTGAATGCCTAACGAAGCGATGTCTTCCGGGCGTAATTACGTTTCAAAGAATCTGAATTCTCTTGTGCGACATCTGAATTCCTAACGATAAAAGCTAGCACGAGAAACTAGCGAGGATTGGCAAGAATTACGTTATACACACAGATTTTCATAAATACACGCTTGCATATACAAACGCACACATAAACATATGCGCACACACGCACACATATATATATATATATATATATATATATATAAATATAAAATATATATATATATATATATATATATATATATATACACCCACAGATATGCACACGTGTATCCGCATGCAAACATAAAATCTAAATTTCTACACCCCTCACGCCAAAGTGCCTCGCTACAAGACAATGCCTAGCAACTATATCTCGTAAACAATTCATACTTCAATGAGTTCTGTTTTCACCTTCTTCCAAGTTGCTCTAAGCCAACGCGGAAGAATACAATGATAAAATTATCAGGAAAATATCAAACTAAATATTTTCCAAACATTCAGACCATCACCACCCAACCAGGCGAGTGGATCAGCAGCACTGGACTGATATAACAGCAGGGATCGGTCCAGCGGCTTCCGATTCGTGTTCAGTACAAACCACTTTGTTATTGAAGTGAAAATATTTAACAAATTGAAATGAAAACAAAAGAATCCAAACAAACTCGTATTGATCTCGAGATTGGAGTGGAAGAAACGAACTTGGTTGCTTGTTTAGATATAATGCCAATATTTACTAGCGCCCCCACAAGGTTAGATGTGGCACAAAGCCGAGTTTAACGACCAAAAAAATCCCCATAGAACCCACATAAACAGGCTCTGGTCAGTCTACCTCCCCGAACGAGACTCTGCCTGTCGGCACAGCCTCGCCGGGTTCCTCTCTGCCCGAAGGCAGAGAGTTCGACTGTATAACCGAAAAAGATTTCAGCTAGTCAGTATTTACTAGCCCCAGCCCACGATGGTAGATGTGACACAAGCCCGAGTTTAACGTGGGTCTTCCGAGCCCGTAAGCTCGGCCAAAAAATCCCCATAGAACCCGAATAAACGGGGTCGGTTTGGAGCTTCGTCCGGCTTTCTCTCAGCTCAGAGGCAGAACTTCGACCAGCAAGCCGAAAAAGAATGTTTACATAAATGACCAAAGATTTATTTTATATACAAGTTATAAAAAAATGTCTATGGTAAGTGATATACTGTAACGGATTGAATGTGCGGCGTATCAGGTGTGAAGTGAGAACGTGAAAAAGGAGTAAGACTAACCTCCATTCACTGCTTGGTAGTTATCGCTTTGGGCTTGTCGCGTTGATAGGGTTCGTTCATGTTTAGAGGAGGTCGTTTACAAAGCCTAATGGTCGGACGGGCAGTCAAAAATAATGCTCGTGCGTGCGTGAAGTCAAAAATCTCTCTTTCTCTGCTTTCTGTTGGTGTCCTGCTAAATTCTTCGGTTGGGCGTTGGCTGAAATAGAAGAAAAGAACTTGGACGCTTGTTTAGATAAATGACCAAAGATTTACTTTTATATACAATTTATAAAAATGCCTGTGGTAAGTGATATACTGTAGCGGCTTATCAGGTGTGAACTGAGAGTGTGAAAAAGGAGTGTGCTTAACCCCGGCTGACTGCTTGGTACTTATCGCTTTGCGTTGGTAGGGTCCGTTCAATTACTCTGTTTACAGGAGGTCGTTTACAAAGCCTAATGGTCGGACAAGATGTCAGCCGTGTGTGCGTGAAGTCTCTCTCTGCTTTCTGTTGGTGTCCTACTCTCCGGGTTCTTATCGCCTATATAAGGGAAACGCGCGGACGTAGTTGAAAGCATCTGTGGCAAACGAGATTCGCCTCAGTAATGGCGAGCAGTCTGATATATTTGTGTTTCTTTAAACATTTCTTTTGAGTAGAGTGCGGCGTGTGTGTAACTTAGCAAGACGAAAATTGATGTGTAGTTAGAAATAAATGTTTTCTAATAACTGTGTGAATTTGTCTTTAATTTGTTATCTCTTACTCTGTGTAATTTGTGTTTTTTCAGCTACACTGGCATTAAAATATAAAACTGTTGATTTCCAAACTAGAGGTGGTCACATCTGGACTCTCACCATGCGAAGAGGTGAGGAGACAACCAGCACTGGAGAGAACTAAATCGTATTAGTATCTGTCTATATTTCTGAGATGAGGTATTATGTACACTATTTACATTATTCGGACTATTGTCCTCATCTTTGTCGCCATATTTATTACAACGTTTCGGCCTTTCAGTATCTGTCTATATTTCTGAGATGAGGTATTATGTACATTATTTACATTATTCTGATTATTGTCCTCATCTTTGTTGCCATATTTATTATAACGTTTCGGCCTTTCAGTATCTGTCTATATTTCTGAGATGAGGTATTATGTACACTATTTACATTATTCGGACTATTGTTCTCATCTTTGTCGCCATATTTATTATAACGTTTCGATACCCCAGTATCTGTCTATATTTCTGAGATGAAGTATTATGTACACTATTTACATTATTCGGACTATTGTCCTCATCTTTGTCGCCATATTTATTACAACGTTTCGGCCTTTCAGTATCTGTCTGTATTTCTGAGATGACGTATTATGTACACTATTTACATTATTCGGACTATTGTCCTCATCTTTATACAATACAATATGGGAACCAGTAATAAGGAGTGCCAGATGAAAAGCGATAATAACAACAAAATTTGCAATATGAGCTCTTCTAAAAACATGCAATGATAACAGCAATAATTGGAATATGAGCTCTGGTAAAAAATCGTTGCTGAAGACATTAGGTTTATAATGCCCAGAAACCTAAGACACATGGCAAAGTAGATAAAGGCTTTGATTAGATCCAGTGACAGGACCCAAAGAGTGTGAGTTCAATACCCGGTTAAGGCAGTGGATAACTTTCAGAGGGGAATTAACAGGAGATAACTGATAACTGACATCCATTAAACATGGCACGTGGAATTAGAATAGTCTACCCCAGTGAGCGAAATAATTGGTTTAGTTCGACGTTCCAACCACCTGAAGTAACGTTATAATAAATGTGGTGACAAAGATCATATTAGTACTCAATCTGCTCTGGGATGACATAGGGAACTAGTTCCTGTCTCACTGGGAGCTACAATTTCGTGGCCTTGTACAGTACTTACTTAAGTTTTGTAAACCTTGCATTTTATATTTTCTGGTATTTTTATTATTAAATTTCATATAATATTTTTTATATATTATATTTCGTATAATATATATTTTTAAATGTTTATGAAAAAGTGAAAAACATTTATTGGGTGAAATATTTCATCCTTTAGGACTTTATAAGATTAAAACTTATGTCCATGTGATTACACATGCGCATGAAGGAGAGCGGACGTGAGAATTTGAAATTGAATTGTTTTTTATGTTTTTTTGTTTTTTAAATATGTGTTTTCGAAAGAAATCTAGAAAAAAAAAGGAAATTCACATCAGCTCCTCGGACAAAGGAGGTGAGGTTGGCATTAGAAATAGGAACACATAATGACAAAATTAATTTACTACTGGACGATACCTGTACATATGAGATATAGATGATCACAAAACAATTACAGAAACACAGAAATTTAACAGAGTAATTAGAAAATTAGTTTCTCATGAAAAGAAATAATGATATAAACTAATAGAATCCCACCCTAGAACACCCAGATTTTATGGTCTCCCAAAGAACAGCCATTTTTGATGAGTTCCATTACGTGTGGTATTGACAAGTTTCATCATAAATTGACGAAAGCCATAACAAAAAAAAAAAAATGAACTTCTCTCCTCGAAATACTCAGACCATCACATGTTAAAAATCTAGGCAATCTGGTTTAAAAACTTAAGGGAATAAACATTACTGACAATCTAATGGCTAATTTAGATGATAAATCTCTCTACACCGGAGCTCATCAAAATTTTCGACTAAAGACCTACCTTTGTTTCTCTTCCTTCCCCAGCGAACCCCTTTTAAAATATATATGAACCTTAAAACTTGCACTGATGTTGTCAAATAAAATGTTAATTAAAATGCATGAAAAGTTAAGAAATTTGGATCAGGCTCAAAAATCCCCCTCCCGCCATCAAGTTCAGAATTTCCCTAAAAAATATATTTTAGAAAATATATTAAATAACCCGAATGAATCAAGCAAATACTCTATACAGTGCAGTTATGTGCCATGTGTGATACACGCTTAGGCGATCATGTATCTTTCGATACATGACTGACGAGGCAGATTTTTCTCCGCAGTAGGTTGCCATTTCTTTCTGCGGTAGACCAGTTGGCATCCAAGGCTATAGAGCTATGGATAAATAGCAGGACAAATGGAGGAAGAAGAAGAGGATTCATATCTTTCTCAAGGGTATTAGCACGTAAGTGAATGTAATGGATTCGACAGGAAAGTCAGTCAGTCAGTTGTGTGCCATGCATGATACACGCTTAGGCGATCATGTATCTTTCGATACATGACTGAAGAGGCAGATTTTTCCCTCAGGAGATTGCCATTTCTTTCTGCGGTAGTTGCCATCCCGGGCTGTCCTGCTATTTACCCACAGCTGGAGGGAGAAGAAGAGGATCCATACCTTCCCCAACGCTATTAGCACGTAAATGAATGTTATGGATTCAGCTGGAATTCGAACTCGGCTCTCCGATTCCATTACTCCACAGTATGAAGTATACCAAGCCTAAATAAAGCCGATGCTGTTGAGCAGAAATGCATAACATATACTAATGTCCAACTGCACAGCTGTACCAAGTAAATAAAATAAAATGAAATAAACAAATATTGCATCTTGCTTGATGCAATCGTACCAATCAGACCAACTGACTTCGATAAACTCTTTTTACAGTTAGAGGTTTTAAAAAGAGGTTGTTATCTGAAAATCAACTTCGAACAATTAAAAAGGAGTAAGCAATGCAAAGTGTAGTATGAAATAAGTCTCATAAAAA